CACAACACACACACACACACACACACACACACACATGATATATATAATTTATATAAATACATTATATATATATATAATTATACTATATATATATATATATATATATATTTATATGCATATATACATATATATAATAATATATATATATAATATATATATATATATATATATATATATTATCTATATATATTCAGCCTTTATAATTTTCTAAGTTATGTGAAAGGCACACATGCATTTTTGCCATTACCATAACAAAAGTCTTACCCACAACAAACAACCTCTCAATATGTAATAACTAAACATAAATACAATGAATCAGAGCATGGACCACTAGCACACCGGTTAACATTCACACAATTTCGTATATTCAACATATCTTATATATTACTTTTATTCCTACATGGCTTTACATTATCATTTAAATAGATTTGGTTTACGTATTGTATGGAACATTAATAGAGATACCGCCTCTACATCCACTCTCTCCACAAAGCTGCTTTTCTTGCATTATATATGTAAAATGAGAACCATTGCATGAAGCACACGCGTGTGTGACAGGAATAAATTCATATGTGTGTGTGTTTACTGTGAGGTAGAAAGTGCATCCGTGCGTATAGATATAGCACTGTATGTGCATATGTTGATACACATACACACACACATATGCTGTGTGTGTGTGTGTGTGTGTGTGTGGGTGTGTGTGTGTGTGTGTGTGTGTGTGTGGTGTGTGTGTGTGTGTGTGTGTGTGTGTGTGTTGTGTGTGTGTGTGTACATATAATCATTATATACTATATATACTATATATGTATATATATAGTGTATATATGTATATATATATATATATGGTATATATTTAAATAGGATATAGAGAAGGGTATTCACGCACACCGACACAACATTACGCAAAACAAACAAACAAATACACACACACACACACCATCACACACACACCACACACACCACACACACACACACACATTTACCACAGTCCACGCACACAAGAAGCACCACAACGACACATATATATAGGTGTAGACAGTATAATGTAGATATGATGTAGTATATATATTATATGTATACATATTATAATATTATATATATAAATGAGTGATAGGGATATAGTGTAGTACAGCATATATAAAATTAAGAGCTATTTATATATATATAAAATATACTATAGGATAGTAGTATAGGAGGATTATGGGTATGTGTAGTGAAGGTACGCGTATAGTAATAAAGTGAAGATTGGAGTAGATAGATGTAGATAGGGAGATAAGATACAAGTAAGGGTATATAATGATAACAACATAGTAATATGATAGGTAGTATACAGAGAGCGGTACGAATAGGACTACTGAGTGTATTATATATATATTATATATATATATATGAATGGGGTGAGCATGAGTAGAGTGAAGTCAAGTGAATAGGTAGGAGATGGGTATATATAGGTAGAGTAGATGATAGGAGGTATAGGGTATATATATATGAACGCCGCGACGCATCTGGGTGACTGTTATTATGTGTGTGATGGTATATATATACTATATATTATAAAGTAGTTTCTAGTAAGGGGGCGTGGGGTATATATATATATATATGTATAAAATATATATAGTATTATTGTATATATAAATATTTGATACATATATGATGTAGTATATAAATGAGTATATACATAGTTATGTAGTGATGTAAGTGGATATAGTAAGTACGTAAGGTAAATATGTAATATAGTCATATATTATATACTGTATACATATTATTACATAGGGGTGAACAAATGTATATACCAGAGCGACACACGGCACACGATCGACACGACACACACGCACAGCGAACGAGCAGCAATAGGGCACACGTAGATAAGTGGCAGGTAGTAAAATAAAGGTGAGATTGTATAGTAGTAATTATATAAGAGTAATGATAGAGGTATGACAGTAGCGATAAATAATAGATGAGTATGATGGGGGTTGGGGTGATATGTGGTATATATATTTAAAAATTATATATGAATATAGTATATAAGTAGATAGTGATATATATATGATTAAATGTAAATATGGGTAATATAGATTAACGTAAATACTAGTAATATAATATACGTAAGTAGTATATCCAAATATTAGTGTAATTATATATTAACATGATATATATATATAAGTAAGTGAAAGGTAATAAGTGTGTATATAATATGGATAAGTAGTTAATATGGCGTATATAAGTATATATGATGAAAGTCGTGATACAGAGAAGATAACACACTAGTCAAATAAAATGAGAAACTAGAAATTAGAAGATGGGAATTTAAGGGGATGAGAATAAGAGTTAAATAATAGAGATAGAAGAGAGGGAGGTAGGATATACTTATAGGAGTGGATAGACTGGTGATAATAAGAATTCTAAATATATAGTGGGTTGGTTATTAGTATAAGTGTTAGCTATACGAGAGTAAGTATTGTGTAATGTGTGTTGAGGAATATATGTGTAAGGGTATAAGTGTAGGGTGTGTGTGGGTTAGAATTGTGTGTGTGTGTGAAGGAATCAGCAATATCTATGTGTGATGTGTCGATGATGGATGGTGTGTGTAGCTGTGGTGTGGGAGTGTGGATGTGTGATGTGTGCACAAGCGTCAGGTAAATAAAGACAATGATGCGTGTGGTGTGAAAAAGTGGTACTTATACAAGGCATTTCGGTAATATCATTTGGTTAATAATACACCAAACACTAGCTTCAAACAGGAAGCTCACTCCAGGTTTTGGTTTTATCTCACGCGATTTCCTATTTCGTTTTGCCAAATAAAATAATAAAAATAACGTGAGATTCTATCACCTTCTCCTCGTCCTTCTCCTGCACAGAATCATTACACACACACACACACACACACACACACACACACACACACACACACACACACACACACATATATATATATATATATACATATGTGTGTGTGTGTGTATACACATAGGCAGCGTATATACATATATATGTACACTACACACACACACACACACACACACACACACACACACACACACACACACACACACACACACACACACACACACAAACACAAACACAAAACACATACACACACACACACACACACACACACCACACACACACACACATATACATATATATATATATATATATATATATATATATATATATATATATATTAATATATATATATATATATATATACATACTTCAAAGGCATTTCGGTTATCTTTTATAATACACCAAACACTAGCTTCAAAACAGGAAGCTCACTCCAGGTTTTTGGTTTTATCTCACGCGATTTCCTATTTCGTTTTGCCAAATAAAATAAAAAATAACGTGAGATTCTATCACCTTTCTCCTCGTCCTTCTCCTGCACAGAATCATTACACACACACACACACACACACACACACACACACACACACACACACACACACACACACACACAAAAAAAAAAAAAAAAAAAAAAAAAAAAAAAAAAAAAAAAAGATTCCGAACAAGGCTATTTTCCTAGTCCTCACTCATCCTCACTCCAGCTTGTGCCTAATTAGTCATCTCTTAGACTTAGCTTGTAACAAATTGCTTCTCTCATACATGAGCCTGAATCCAATCACTTGTCTCGTAGATGAACTTGTATCCATTCGCTCATCTCATAAACCACTTTGTTTCCAATCACTCGTCTCATAAATTAATTTGTTTCTAATCATTCTCATCAGTTCATTTGTTTCCAATCACTCGTCTCGTAGATAAATTTGTTTCCAATCACTCGTCTCATAAATTCATTTGTTCCTAATCATTTTCATAAATTCATTTGTTTCCAATCACTCGTCTCATAAATAAATAAATTTGTTTCCAATCATCGTCCAAATTAGTGTTTCCAATCACTCGTCTCATAAATTAATTTGTTTCCAATCACTCGTCTTATAAATGAATTTGTTTCCAATCACTCGTCTCATAAATAAATTTGTTTCCAATCACTCGCCTGACAAATCAGTGTTTCCAATCACCTGTCACAAAAAACAAACCCACTTTTCCCTTCACATTCCACCTTGGGGCCGACAAAGGATTAAAACTTACTGTACTTAGCTAGACGTAGTTTTGTTTTTCGTTCATTAGATTTTAAGCAATGGAACTCATAGTAACATAATGTATTTGGCCTCATTCTCCATCCCAGTGATCCTCATTTCCCCGCCTCATAATTCCTCTCCTCATCCTCCGCGCCATGAGTTCGACATCCCCGCCGCAGACCGACTTGTACATCCGATCACCCATCGCGCCGCCCAGCTTGCGTCCGATCACTTCATCTACTCACATCGCTCGTCTCCCATTCCTCACCTCTACACCAGATTATCGTCCGCCTCTATACCAGTTTGACAGCCGACCCATTCACCTCTACACCAATCTGCGTCCAATCACCCACCCCTATGCCAGCTTGTACCCCTCCTCCCTCTCCCCCCTGCCCCTCGCCGCACCGCCCCCCCTCCCCCACCTACTGCGCCCCAGGATTCACCCTCTTGTGCTCCCCCGCAGCCGGCAGGAGCCTCACCTCGCGACTTCCTCCGGCAGAGTTTGGTTACGAGGTGACCTACGGTGGTGGTGGCGGCGTCTACGGCGGAGGCGGAGGAGGACCGGGCCTCATGTGGGACGGCGCGGGGACGGGGCCGCCGCTCGGACACTACCCGCCCCACGACGCCGCCTTCGCTGCCGCCGCCGCCGCCGCCCTCCCGCTCCACGACCTCTGGCAGACGCACTCCTTCCGAGGCCAGTGCGTGATGTCGCACAGGTAAGGAGTCCCTTTTGACCGGTTTTCCTCTTTCTTTTCCAGTCCATTCTCGACCCACGATTTAACTGGCAAAATTCTCACGTCTTGAAGCATTCCAAGCGCGATACAAATTTCTCCAAACTCCAAACCTTCAACCTCTACATCAGGGGATACTACAACTACTACTACTACTAATAATAATAATAATGATAATAGTAATAGTAGTCGT